TTCAAAGCAGCTTCAGCTTCTTCCTTCATCACCATAGGCTCTCACCCATATGTTATTTCATTAAATTCTTCTGTGTCTGCCAATTCCTTTTGATACAATGACTCAGTATATTCCTTCCATCTTCTTTTAATACTTCCTGGATCATTTAATATTCTGCCTATTTGTTCTAGAAATTTTACCAAAACATATCTCCCTTCTCCTAAACATTCACTCATTTAAATTTCAATGCAAGTATTATTGAAATTAATTGGAGTATTACTATACCTTTGAAAAGTTTTTAAAGCTGCCTGAATGTTATTTCCCTTTTCTAAATGTGGTTTTTTGGATAGATCAGTGACTTTTTAGATGTGTGTTTTCGAGCCCTAGATTGAGACTCTATTTGAATAGGTGGGATGCCAAGCTTCTCATTCCTTTTCAACCAGAGCCTTACTCCTTTATCTGGTTTATATGTGAATTCGATGGAAGAATTTTTTTCAATAGAAAAAAACACCAGCTTTTAGATCTGTTGCAGTCCTTTATTTTATAAGCTTCTGAATTTAAGAAATTGATTGCTTTTCAGAAGTAGTATTTTAATTTTATTATAAGGATGGGATTCCCCCCTCACTGGTATACATTTTTTACTGCCATCTAACAACCCGAGTAACAACAACAATAATAGAGCCCCTAGAAGAAGGAGGTTTGCTAGGACATTGTAGTTATATTATTCAGTCTTGAACCCTCTCTGCTACTTATTTGCTCTGTGACCTTGGGCTATAAAGTTCCTTTTTTTAATTCTTATTGTTTTGGTTGTCATCTACCTAGTTCAAATTTAGCAACACTATGTTACAGGGTAGAACTGCCCCCAGAGGTTTCCTAGAAAGAAAGGCTCAAGTTTTATGGAAAGATGCCTAATAGTGCAGTGTAGCTATGTGCTAGCAGAAAGCTTATAGTTTAAAACTATCAGTCCTTTTGCAGGAGAAAAGACTTGCTCTTAAGAATCTGCCTATGGGCAGCTCTGATCTGTCCTGTAGAGTGGCTGAGTCAAAATCAGTTCATTGGTACACAATAACAGTAACAGTTTTGATAGCAGTTTGCCAGATCTTTCCTCCCTCAAGAGTAACTAGTAGATTTGAGCTGCCAGCCTTTGGGTTAGTAGCCAATCAGTAGCTTAACTAATATTGTTCTACCAAGTCTCGTTTCTCAGCTGTAAAAGGAGATAAGATGCTTAGTTCTTATGGTTGTATAGTAGATTAATTAACATAATGCTTTAATGTATAAAAAAGGCCTTAATGCTGAATAACAATAACTTTTGTTGACAGCTTTCTGGGTATTTAACAAATACAGTTGTCAACAATAATTTCTTGTGTGCTTATCATAATGATACATAAATTTTCTTACTTAATGTTATGACAACCTTAGAGGAAGGTGAAACAGAACATAAGAAGTAATTTAATCTCTTCAGGGTCACACAGTAGTGGAAAAGAGTTAGCATTTGCACCAAAGTCTGTCTCATTTCATAGTTCTTGTCTACTAAAAAATTTCTGCCAGCTATATTGTGGCTTTTATTTTGGGACATAATTCCCTGTTCTTGTATTTTCAAAATTTGTGGTATGCATGAGGATCATGTTGTAAGTCACCATTTAATGTAATTCATAAGGAAATCTTGGAGGATGACAAGCTTCATTTAATAAGTGGAATCCTCTTACAAACTAATAGCATTATTAGATATTGTTGCCTTCTTAAGGTATTTTTCCTTCTTCATAAAACAAGCTACTATTCCCTGGGGGATGCTATTATTGTGATTGCTTTCCATCGATAAATTGAAGCCAGTTGAAACATGTTAATAGCAAAGGAATGTCAGTCAATAAAGAGTTGCATTTCTAATATAAAATGTGTTTTAAGATTCTGTGCCTCCTTGTCTACAAAGAAATCCTTAGTGAAGGTATATCTACTCAGAATAAAGCTTTTCTTAAAAACCTAATCTTTGAATTAGTTTTAATTAGGGGAAGATTCACTTTTCTTTTACTGCAGACTTTAAGACCTCACCAAAACCTTGAATCTAGAACATGTTTTTACTTGAAGTCTATGTAACAGATGTGAGCCTCAGGCCTAGACAAATCTTCAGTCAAAGGATCGAGCAGATTAGTTCTAAAGCCCTGTAAAATCTCTACCTGTGTTAGGATGCCTCAAGTGCACACTGTTGTTTATTTTAACTTTCATAGTGACTTCTCAAAAATATTTGCAAGTTGTAGTTGTCCAGGGTATTTCAGAAGACACTCTCACAGAATCCAAGCCTGAAAGGCTTTTCTGTCTTGGACTTGAGGTGTATACCACCTGATTATTTGGATTCAAGGATGGTGATTAGGAATGACCTGCTGCTGAGCACATTAACGGCACATTGTTTATTGGCCTGTGTGCCCAGCTGTTTTGTGTCCTATTTGATGGTGTCAGAAAGTTATAGATGTTTTTCAGTTTAGTTAAAGGTAGTAAATAGTCAAGGACTGCAGCCTTCAGTATGGACTGAGGCTTAATGTCAAGAAGAACATGAAGATTCTCACCACTGGACCATCAGGATGGATGGCGAAGAGATTGAGATTGTTCACATCTTCAGTTTGCTTGGCTCCACGGTCAACAC